ACTTGAGGTCGTCCTCGCCTAATTACGGATAGGTATGATTACGTTGCTATCCGTATAACCTATCAGGGTTCAATTGTTTCCGATTATTAAGCAATCGAATTTTTACGCTCCAGTCAATTTTTAAAAACTCATCATTAAAGTAACCATCACTGTTGACGTCCAACCTAAAGAAGCAGGATAATTTGGATTAAATTGGGAACATGAAAATGCACAGGCCTCATACTAATCTGGAGCGATTTGTGTCTCCATCCTCTGGTACAACTGTTTCGTTGGGGCTTTAATTACCCTGCATCATGGAGCAGCATTCAAGATCATTTATTGACCAGCAAACAGCTAGATATGGGAATGGTGGGATAGCCAAATAAATAGCCAATAACTCAATTATGTGAATTCATCAGAGAAGGGAACGTTTTGTTCTAGCAAGTGGATGAATTGCACCCGAAATATTTAGAACAAAAGACAGGTTTGAATAGTTGAAAATACTTTGGTCGGATGGTTGATTTAGTAATCCTTTCCTTTCATGGTCTCAGCAGGTATGTCAGAGTTAACCTTTTTCTTCGTAATTTGCCCAGATGCTCGGCAACGCACTTCCGACCGGTAGTCTGCACGTTTATCCTATACTGTTTAGTTCAGTCCTCCTTCATATATCTTCACACGACTTCTTGGGACAGTGTCAACTCGCGTCCTTCTAACGCAGTCACATTCCGTTGAGTTCGCACATAACTTACGACGGTTTCACGATATCCGATTATTAAGCACTCAGGGGTGCGGTTTCCGTCACTTTCAAAGATAAACCCGAAAATGCCTAGCCAACCGAGTGCACAATGTGGCAAAGCTCGGTTTCAAATGTCCATTCGCCGATAAGCCTATGAATTTGATGTAAAGCATAGAAGCCCGAACTGCGCAACTAAGTTGATTCGACAACCAAGGTCTCCACGAATTTGAACCACAGGTGGTGTCAGCTAATGGAGATGGTGTATGAAACCTATGGTCATCAGTGCGCAGCTCTCAGTGTCTGGCATGGTTGACAGACACAGGTAGAATGAATTGCCCAGTCAATGGTCACAATCGATGGACCTCACGGGTGTGCATGAAAAAATGAAGCTTGTGACAAAGGGACGAAAGCGCCGTAGATGTATGCATCTAGGTTCCATAGAAATGTAGGAAGCCTGTTAGGAAGGCAAAAAAGCTGTCATAAAGTATCGGTACAAAACACAAGTGTCAATTCGCCGAGCCCTAGTAGGTCCTGGAATCACATTAGGATTAGTTTTGAGATTCTAAATGTCCTGGCGTGTGCTTCATAGGAAGTCCTGTTTCATGTACCCTTTCACAACCAGGTGAGATATATTGGACCAATTTCAAAGTTGCTAGAATGATCAGTCAGCAAGGATTATCTCTCATTTGCTCCCTGAGCTCCAAGCTTCTATCAGCAATCGAGGCGGCATTATCACTACCATGTCGTAGTGTTAGTTAGGTCGGTATGTCGTTCAGTTAGAGCACTTGGGAAAGTGATTTTTTCCGATAGCGGTTTTATTGTTCAAGTGATTCTACTTATTGGTCTGTTATCTTCTGGCTCCTGTACTCACATTTATGGGTCAGAACAACAAATGGGCTGTGCAAGAGGCAGTACCTTACAAACTGGTCCATAGCTATGACAATCGAAGTGACACACGATTCAATCAAATCAAATCAAGATACTCCTTAAGGATAGGTGGCTCATCGACCCCGCAAACTACTGGAGTATACTGGCAATGAAAAAAACATGCATCAAGCGGATGGATGCATAAAACTACTGAAATTAATCGGATGCAAGATAATCAGAAAAGAGAAAACCAAAAAACGTAGAAGCAATACGTGAATCCCCACAAAGCCCGTCAGGTTACAGTTGTTAACTATCCTCCGAAAGTTATATATACTCAGAGAGAATTGTCTGCATAACGAAGCCCCGAAGATGCCCCCAATCATGGTGACGAAAAGTTGTCAAACGAACCATCCTGGCCAACAATCAGACGGACGTCCACATCATCCGTGGTCCTACTCGGTCATATCAAGTCACCGTTTGGCACATCAGTAATTTTTCTTCATAACTGGCTTGCTGAAAATAGTTCTTGAAATTCACTCTCCCTGAACTTAAAGGATTGTGTTTTAAACACGTGTGTTTGCATCTATAACCACAGGACGGTAAGACTCGACAGATAGAGTCAGTGTGCAAGACTATTAGAGCGCAAAACGTTGACCCGTTCGGTAAACTAATAACCCGATTGTTTATTATTAAGGAAACAAAATTGCAAAATACACAAGGCTTACACAAGGTTTGACACTGAAACAAAACGACGTACTGTGATAAGACTGAGTGGGAACCTAGGAGTAAAACATGTGTTCTCGCACCCAACTATTCAGTGAACCAATCCGTCTCCAACGAAAACTGTAAAACTTGTTAGATAAACCAACAAAGGGAAATAGACAATGGCCAGAGGTTTGCTGTAGTTTGTTATATCATTCTATATCATCATTACTGATGGGTATGCCAACTAGACTTGGCATTGTTCATCTTGATCAGTTGATTAGCACCTGACAAACCAATGTTTCCGCCACACAAGTGAACTCGAGAACCGGGAGAACAAGTCAGTTATGTTGATCAGGCTTAAAATTTGATACAAGTAAAATTAATGCGATGATCCATGTGACAGATATCATGTGCTTTGCAGTGTGCAAGGGCACAACCATGTGTCTCTGTGAACAATATGATCTCAAGTAATATCACGACAACCTGTTTAACGTGGTAAACTTGCCTTGAAAGGTAACGCACGGGATTTAGGTTGTGTGTCTGTGTAAGTTGTAATAAACAGTACATACAAGCCTAAAATTCTGTAAGGAGCACATCATGAAGCATAGATTAGTGCACCATGTGTCTGAAGCACAACAAATGAGGAGTGGCTACATAGAAAGACTTCAAAGTGCGTGTATCTTACAGGTTCAATTTGCCGCTTGAGGACAGAATCTTCGATACAATACAGTCATTGTAACGAGGAGTGGAGTGACGGTGGAAGGGAAATCTGAAAGGAATGATGATGATGATTTGATAAAACGTTGTAACTAAGGCAGTCACGAGAGCTGGACTGATGAAACCGACCATATGAAACGGGATACTGCTGGTTGGTTAGGGGTTGGATGGATAAAAAATGCCGTACACATCCGCTTCAAAATTTACTTGTTACTTTGTTCTCAATATGGATAGTCGCTTTTCTTTTATCTACTCTTTTGTCTTCAGGAAAAAACTGCTGAACAGGTACCCTGAATATTCATTAGCATGGTGTTTGATAATTCTGGTAATGCTTTGTTGACCAGCAAAATAATGTGATCCACGCATCAAATTAAACAACAAGGCTTCGGGTGATTTAAGATTATACGCTTTGTTCTGTACAGTGTACATGGCATACAAAACGATCAATTAAGTCAGATCAGCTTCAAAGTAACCCTCGGATCATTATAGGCGGACAGAACAGGCTTAAAACGATTATCTATGCAACCAGTTTCTAACCAAAGACCGGTCCACTAAATAAATAACAACATGTTTTTAGTGGGCATCGCGTGACTTGGGTTTGATATTGCTTTCGATAAACTTCTGAAATGTTTGCTAAAAGCAAGGCTAGGCATCCGGTGTGCACGTATCCTGCGTGCATCCTGTGTGTTACGAGAACAGAAGTTCTTCCACGGGTGGATGTGCATTCCGTTCACAGTGCACTGCGGAATCAGTAGAAATCAGGTAGTCAACTACAGCAGAGTCAAGTGCTACCAGATCGACTATGGCTTGATCAAAATCTAGGCATCAATATGTTGAAAAGTAAAAATATACAAAAAACGATTTGCTTGCTTGAAGTACAAACAAAGTAGGTTGGTTTAACCCGCAAATGCGCAAAGGAGGAATGAAGCATGTGGTGTGCATCGTTCTGTTTTGTTACGAAGATTATCCTTCACTTGTTCACATTTTTCATTCGGAAGAACCTCAGAAAGCTTTGTGTTCAGCTGTGTTTGGATCTATTGCTTCAACATTTTAGATATGGCTAACCTATTTTCAAACGTTCGAACTTTTTGGTTATTTTCATAAAAATATGGGAACAGGTACGCAAGCAAACTCATTTTTGTATGGCTTGATCAAAAGTATATCTTGTGTGGACGCGATAAAAGTCCCTAATCTATGAATATGTCATCATCTGCATTAGATGACGATGCTACTCTTAGCCTGCCGTTGTTTTCGCTGAGCGCGGCTATTTAATTCCAGACGTTTGATCCCCATTCGAGGTGACATCCTCGTTATTGGGGAGCGTAGATGTGCGTAACGCACAAACGATGTTACCTCCATTAGTGATGGAACGTTTGCAGTCGAATTGCCCAGCACAGCGAACAAGCCAGCGGCCATCTACGCTACCTGAGCTACCAACGTTTTACCCTATAGAAAACTCAGTCTATTGTTCAAGCGCTAAAAATTCGTTCAAAACGTACCTTCAAAGTGGCTACACACACGCCATTGAGTTCAAGCGAAAAAGACAAGACTATTTCCTTTAACTTTCATGGAGTCAAGAAAAAATTACCAAGTAATGGCACCCTTTGCTGAGATCGGATGCATACCTAATAAATCCTATCACGAAACTTGTTCGTTAGTGCACAGCCAAAGTAGTGATTCAGATAATGCAAAACTCAAGGTCACAGTATGGCTACTTAAGCAGCAATGACCCACCCAGTCTGAAAACGGCGCTGACATGTTTGGACTATTTCTATATTTTACGACTAGCGCCGTGAAACCTATCTACTCTCAAAAATTTGGTGAGTTGCCTGAAAGCTGAATTTATTTGTACCTGCCTATCTTAGTCCGCTCCGTCGAATTTCGTATATTATTGAGTACACCAATGTCAATTTTGACGAATCGTATATAAATAATTCACTTAAAATTTTCACAGAACTTATCGTGAGGGCATTTGTTCCCGAAGGGCTTCTACAGGATGTTGCAGCCTGCGAAACGGTAAGTATTTCACGTTAGATGGGCTGTACTTTTTGTATTGTAGCCGTAAGTAATAAGAAACTTAACGAAAAACACCCCTAACTGAACAAAGGTGTGCGGTTTTGTGGCATTTATCCCAAGTAAATTAATCATCAGTAGATTATTTAGGGAATTAACAACAGAAGCTTGCAGGCCTGTTTGGACTACAGACATCAAAAGATTCTCTAACCAGTACTCTGTGAAGCGATTGCTTTCTAACTTTGGATGGAATGTCTTACTACTTAGTTTAATGAAACCATTTTGGTTTGATGGTTGCTCAAGCATAACTTTATTTCGAAATAGAAATTAGAGTGGTTAAACAGTCTTCTGAGCAGGCGTGTTTCCTTGGAAAAAATCTAAGTAATCATTAGATGTTACAGAGCCTTTAATTGGATGAAATGCAAGTATTCAAACCCACAAATGTGAGCTTTAACAAGGGCTTCAAAAAATTAGTGATAAATTGAACCTCAGGGCCATTAGCATTTTGGAGACTCTCCTGTTACCATAGACTCCATTGTCTGGAATGTTTGTTCTTGTAGTACACAGCTTGGATGTGTTTTTCACCCCTAGTTACGAGTCCGTGGGCCAATGGATTGGAAATATGGCATGTTTACTTCATGCACCTATCTCGGTATGGTGGAATACAGTTGAACTGATAAAGTGGGAATGTTCAAAGTCCAAGCTAATGCATCCCTATTACCAGACTATCAACCCGGCTGGTCCAGTGACGTTATATTTTGGTACCTCAATCGCAGGCTCAACAAAGACATCAATTCCTGCCTCACCTCTACCTGAGGAGAACCGGATGAAGACGGATCTGGAGGTATAGTTTGATTGTTTTACCGGACAAGGAACGTGGATCATCTGGTTGGTGTTCCCATATTCAAAGCCGCAACATTTTGTTTGCTTTCGTTTCAAACTGCAGATGTTTGGTCCCGGAGCACATGCAAAAACAGTCATCGAGCAATCTGTTTAACGTTCTGAAGACATTTTACTCCACCCTAGAAACAAACCCACTGGTAATAATTAAAAGCGATGAATAACAAGTCGCTGTACATTGTTTCTTCCTGTTACCAGGACTCTTACAGTGATTCAAATTAGCTTACTGTTCTCTCATTACAGGGGCGACCTGGAGGCAAGAGTGTCTAAAAATCTAATTCAATTCACCTGATAGCAAACCACAGCATTTTTCCCAAGTTGTTAAGTGATCTTTTTGTACAACGGCTGCTTTGCTTATGAGCCGTAAAACATGAGGCAATCATCACCAAAAATATTATTTTTGCTACATGTTCCGAACAGTTAAAGCCATAATTACATCCCCGAGTCCTCATATTGGGCTTTATTCTTTTGACCCCCTGGGTATATAAAAAAAATATGGTCTGATGAGATGTGTGGTATACCGTATGCTTAAAGTGGCCTGTTGTTGGCACAGAAGCGCACAAACTCGCAAAATTAATAGACTTTTCTAGTGGCATTGTGAAGCCACACTGCTCATGGTTGCACTGCACTGAGCTCCACTAGTTCAAGCAGCCCGTTGTTTCCGCCAACTGGGTGAACTTCAAAAACACGTGGGAAATAACTATCAGAACAAGCCTCCAAACACAATACTGTTTAATCTGACGACAAAAGTCAACGAATTTTAGGGCATAAGTTTTCATGCCAAGGTCTGTAAACTCACAATTGCCTTGTTGTTTTAAGTTTAACCGCATGTCTGAGAGAAAATATTGCAAAATAAGAAGACCGTGTATAACAACCAACTAGCACAGAACACAAAACTATTGCATTTATCCATCTGTGCATTTTTCCATTTCCTAGACTTTATTCACATTGGACCTTGGGACCAAAGCTTTTGTCACAACGTGAGTATTTTATGGCTAGCTACGAATGAGTGAACTGTTTTGTCAAGTTAACACTCTAAAAAAGGGTTTTCAACCTTATTTCTATTTCTATCAGGTAATCAACAAGGATTTCGTTGGTGGCCAACTCAGGGTTACGAGTTGTCAGCTCAAAGACAGAACAAATGAACCCGCGGATTGGCAGCTTCCGGGAAGATACGAAACTAAACTTTTGAGGAATAATCTCGTGGCTGGAGAATTCCACCAGACTGATATATACGTTATGCTTCTCAAAGAGTTAAATGGTCCTAAATGACCTTGCAATTACAATGGTTATTGGGCAAATATTTAATGCATCAAATACAATTATTGACCATTGCAAAGAAATTGTTCTCGTAATTGAAAATTTCACCGAGTGAACGGCTTTCCTAAGCGGTGGTTATACCAAATTATGTTCCTACTTGCTTTGTCTTGAGTTGTAATCAGTTATATTTTATGCCAGTTCTTTTTGTAACATTTGGCATTTTGTTTTTTTTTTGAAGCTGCAACTTAGTGAAGGTGAAGAAGACCTTCTACCTTGCTAAGCAACATCATCAAGTAAAATGGAAAAGGAAAATATATCAAAGGTTTATGCGTAGTGCATTAAAGGTTCCAGCGAAACTACACACTGTGGGCATTCCGCATCCATATTCAAGCATGAGGTCTGTCAGCAGAAAGTGGTGCCAACTAATGTGAAAAAATTAGCGACTTCACAAGATATGCACGATAATTTTTTCAATAAGATGGGGAAATGTTAACAGCCGTCACAAAGAGACCAGACTTTAACAGGGTGTGAAGATACGTGTGCCTCTGTGGACCACTGGATGAGGTATGTGCGCCATGTACAAAGTGTCTTATAAAGGTCGGATCCACACAGTCTCCTGGATACCTGTGGAAATAACCGCAAGTTGATGAGATGCATCACTTCCGTGGGCCAATGGATTGGAAATATGGCATGTTTACTTCATGCACCTATCTCGGTATGGTGGAATACAGTTGAACTGATAAAGTGGGAATGTTCAAAGTCCAAGCTAATGCATCCCTATTACCAGACTATCAACCCGGCTGGTCCAGTGACGTTATATTTTGGTACCTCAATCGCAGGCTCAACAAAGACATCAATTCCTGCCTCACCTCTACCTGAGGAGAACCGGATGAAGACGGATCTGGAGGTATAGTTTGATTGTTTTACCGGACAAGGAACGTGGATCATCTGGTTGGTGTTCCCATATTCAAAGCCGCAACATTTTGTTTGCTTTCGTTTCAAACTGCAGATGTTTGGTCCCGGAGCACATGCAAAAACAGTCATCGAGCAATCTGTTTAACGTTCTGAAGACATTTTACTCCACCCTAGAAACAAACCCACTGGTAATAATTAAAAGCGATGAATAACAAGTCGCTGTACATTGTTTCTTCCTGTTACCAGGACTCTTACAGTGATTCAAATTAGCTTACTGTTCTCTCATTACAGGGGCGACCTGGAGGCAAGAGTGTCTAAAAATCTAATTCAATTCACCTGATAGCAAACCACAGCATTTTTCCCAAGTTGTTAAGTGATCTTTTTGTACAACGGCTGCTTTGCTTATGAGCCGTAAAACATGAGGCAATCATCACCAAAAATATTATTTTTGCTACATGTTCCGAACAGTTAAAGCCATATTACATCCCACGAGTCCTCATATTGGGCTTTATTCTTTTGACCCCCTGGGTATATAAAAAAAATATGGTCTGATGAGATGTGTGGTATACCGTATGCTTAAAGTGGCCTGTTGTTGGCACAGAAGCGCACAAACTCGCAAAATTAATAGACTTTTCTAGTGGCATTGTGAAGCCACACTGCTCATGGTTGCACTGCACTGAGCTCCACTAGTTCAAGCAGCCCGTTGTTTCCGCCAACTGGGTGAACTTCAAAAACACGTGGGAAATAACTATCAGAACAAGCCTCCAAACACAATACTGTTTAATCTGACGACAAAAGTCAACGAATTTTAGGGCATAAGTTTTCATGCCAAGGTCTGTAAACTCACAATTGCCTTGTTGTTTTAAGTTTAACCGCATGTCTGAGAGAAAATATTGCAAAATAAGAAGACCGTGTATAACAACCAACTAGCACAGAACACAAAACTATTGCATTTATCCATCTGTGCATTTTTCCATTTCCTAGACTTTATTCACATTGGACCTTGGGACCAAAGCTTTTGTCAGAACGTGAGTATTTTATGGCTAGCTACGAATGAGTGAACTGTTTTGTCAAGTTAACACTCTAAAAAAGGGTTTTCAACCTTATTTCTATTTCTATCAGGTAATCAACAAGGATTTCGTTGGTGGCCAACTCAGGGTTACGAGTTGTCAGCTCAAAGACAGAACAAATGAACCCGCGGATTGGCAGCTTCCGGGAAGATACGAACTAAACTTATTGAGGAATAATCTCGTGGCTGGAGAATTCCACCAGACTGATATATACGTTATGCTTCTCAAAGAGTTAAATGGTCCTAATGGACCTTGCAATTACAATGGTTATTGGGCAAATATTTAATGCATCAAATACAATTATTGACCATTGCAAAGAAATTGTTCTCGTACTTGAAAATTTCACCGAGTGAACGGCTTTCCTAAGCGGTGGTTATACCAAATTATGTTCCTACTTGCTTTGTCTTGAGTTGTAATCAGTTAT